TGAATTGTTTTATTTCTAAGCCCTGCATTCCAGCATCAAGAGTGATACTTATATATATTTTTTTTCCTTTACAATTCCCAACCTCCACACAGATTTGTTGGTGGAGTTGGATGGCCAAGATCTCTATGATGCTATATGTGTCTAATGGACACACAGGGAAGTTTTGGCCCAAGCTCAGGGCCCTCTCTGAATCTGGTGTTACCCCTGTACCCCACAGGTTCTGACTGGGGGGTTGGGTCTGTTTTAGGAGACACTGCCTGGGGTCACTGGAACCCATTTGGAAGGGACCATAGTCATCCTGCTCACCACACCCATGCCAGGCCTGTGATCCCTTCACGTTCAAGGAGGGCTACCAAGGTGAAAGATGGGAGGGGTCAAGGGACCCAGACAACCCCCTCAAACTCCGGGTGCAGCACAAGTGGTGCTATGGCTCCTATTGGAGACTGCACCCGTCGGCATCCTAGCTGCAGGAGATGCACGTGCCCCATGGAACCAAACGGGTAATTGTCAATACAGACAGAGGTATTATAGCCAATAGCGCTACTTCTGACCTCTTTGTGTGACCTGGCAGGAGAAGGATGGAACCCTCAGATCAGGAGCCTTTCCCTGGGTATGGGTGCAACTCCCCGGGGGGGTCATGGAGCCACCAGGTCCCTAGGGTTCTTTGTCTGCCCTGCTCACTTCCGCTCCAGGGCTCAACTAAACAAATGTGGGGGTTGGGAGGATGCCTATTGTGCCAGGTGGGGATGTGAGTCCACTGGGTGAACTGACTGGTCACCCCCTCCCCCCCGTCACTGGGGACATGAGAGCAGTGGGTAGCAGCCAAGTCGCCTGTGGACCCTACTACGATAAGGAACAGTTCCCCAGCCACCCCTGGGTGACTGCTAGAGACCACTGTAACCTACTAGTCACCAGTCTTACCGAGCGAGGCGGGCAAGAAGGCTGCTGACTTTCACCATCCACAGAATCCAATCACCCCTCAGAGCTGTGATAGGCTCAACCAGGTGATTAATCCCCCTGCACCGGCATCCAAGCCAAGCACCCCATGCTGACCATTGCACAGCCCCTGGGGACCTGGCTCAGCTCATCTGCGCTTGCAGTGACTCTGGACCCTCAGGCTAACTTGGTCTAGACAGAAGACCCACTCCTGACACTTCTAGTCCTGAACATCACCAAGCCTATCTGACTGTCACTTGCTGACTTTGCTATGATAGTTCTCCCCTCTGCTCCCCCACCCCCACCCCCACCCCCCCGTTATGAGGGGATTGCTGTCGTGGAGACCTATGTGGGGAATATTATTTTTTCAGGTTTGTGACTTTTGTTTCTGCTGCATTTGTTTAACTCTGAAGCTGTGTTACTGTGCCTGTCTAACACCTGGTAATCCTAATACAGAACTGAATGGCCAATAGCAAGGCAGGAGCAAGAATAGGCGAGCAGGCAGAGTATGAACAGAAGGAGGAAGGAGGAGGAGCAATAGAACAAGGCAGTGACGTCAGGGGCCAGGCACCCACCTATCCAGCAAGCCACAGGGAAAGAAGTAAAGAAAGATGAGTAGGAATAGCGAAAGAAAAGCCCAGAGGCAAAAGGTAGTTGGGGTGATTTAGATTAAGACAAGCTGGCCAGACACAAGCCAAGATAAGGTTGGGCATTCATAACTGAGAATGAGGCTCTGTGGGAGCTAGGTGGTGGCCTCCCCGAAGAATCCACAGAGCTTAACATCATGCAATAGACCTGTGCTCAGACCTCAGATTCTTTTTTAATTTTTTATTGATATTTATTGAGCTCTACATTTTTCTCTGCTCCCCTCCCTGCCTCTCCCCTCTCTCCTTCAATCCTCCTGCAAGGTTCCCATGCTCCCAATTTACTCAGATCTTGTCTTTTTCTACTTTCTACTTCCCATGTAGATTAGATCTATGTTAGTCTCTCTTAGTGTCCTCATTGTTGTCT